GCTTGTTCCTGCCTAAGCTGAGAATCCTGGCACATTTGTAAAAAGAAAATCAAAGTCTCAGGGCCACCTCCTAGCTCCTCATGCCAAAGAGAAGGCGAAAGCTCAGGCGCCCGTGTAGAGCTGGCCCCACAGGTCACTCGTTAAGGAAAGTCCTTGCTGGCCTCCCGTGAGCAAGGACGTGCAAGTTGCACCTAGGTCCAGCACCTAAAACCAAAGCCTGTTCCATCCCACGCTGCTGATGAGTGACACGTTTATCTTACAGGTAACAGAGCTGGAGACAAGGCAGCATCAGACATTCTTCTGCCTGCCTAGGGACATCTACATCATTGAAGCTTCCTTCACTCCCTTATTTTACATAAAATGTAAATTTGGGGGGCCTCTCAAGAATGTAATTGCTTTCCCATCACCTCCCCACCCACTGCCTGCCTTTTTCCTTTTCTCTGTATGGCTTTAAAATGCTGAAGGTTCCAACCTCCCCTTTTGGAAAAACAGCCACACCCCATCTGTGGTTTATGTTTTCCCCCGGGCGTGTCCTCAAAATCTTGGCTTAATAAACCTCCATAGATTAGGATTTTTGCCTCTGTCATTTATTTGGGCTGACACATCCTCGCCTAAAGGACGGGCACTAGATTAGCTGGCTTTCCACACCCTCCCCCATCCTTCCACCCCTTTCTGCCTCTGGGCTTGAGTAGCTTGAGCTGGAGTCGGATTCCCACCTGCCCCAGCTTGTAGGTTCCACGAAGACACCTGGGAAGAAACACAAAACTCCCCCAATCTCCGCACGATTCTGCTCATTTGTGTTCACTACCTGGGGAGCGTATGTACTGTGTTTCCTTGAAAATAAGACAGGGTTTTATATTTATTTTTCCTCAAGAAAGACACCCTAGGGTTTATTTTCAGGGGAAGTGTTATTTTTTTTAAGTACAGTGCAACCATCTACATTTATTCAAATAGAGTTAAGTCATCTTCTTCTGGAATATCATCATAACTCTCCAAACCCCAAATTCCATCCTGAATTTCTTTCAACTCTATTTCCTTTAGAACCATTGGCCCCAACCTCTCATGTAGAGCCACAGAGCTCTCATGGGGTGGATGAGAAGGGCTGCTCGTCTTCTTTCCCGCTCCACGACGACACGCATGGGTTGTGCAGACGCGCTGCGTAGCCACGCCCAGCACTGGGTCTTATTTTCGGGGTAGGGCTTCTATTGCGCAAATGCTTAGAAATCCTGCTAGGGCTTATTTTATGGGTAGGTCTTATTTTCGGGGAAACACGGTAGAAGTGGATTCTTAAGGTACTAGACCAGAGACAGAGAGTTGAAAGAGAGCCTAGCTGACCGAGGAGGGTGGGCTTTCTAAAGACTTTGGTTTAGTCTACAAATCCCAACAGTTGAGCAGGGTACCATGGAATCCTCCCAGCAGCTGTGACAAAGCCCGACCTCCGGAGCCCAGAGGTCCAAATTATTCACCTGGTGTCAAGGTGATTACATTGAACCCCTACCATGCCATGTGGAGGGGGAGCAATTTGGCTTTTATAGAAGACAGGGACGCTTTTTCTGGAGCGCGATGGAGAAGAAAGCCACAAACACCAGTTCTAGCTCCATGAGCTACTACTACAACAAGGATTGTACCTATCCGTATTCTCTTCCTTACTTTTTTTTTTGAGACAGAGTCTCACTTTGTTGCCCAGACTAGAGTGCCATGGCATCAGCCTAGCTCACAGCAACCTCAAACTCCTGGGCTCAAGCAATCCTCCTGCCTCAGCCTCCCGAGTAGCTGGGACTACAGGCATGCGCCACCATGCCTGGCTAATTTTTTCTCTATATATTTTTAGTTGGTCAATTAATTTCTTTCTATTTTTAGTAGAGATGGGGTCTCGCTCTTGCTCAGGCTGTTTTCAAACTCTTGGCCTTGAGCAATCCTCCTGCCTTGGCCTCCCAGAGTGCTAGGATTATCGGCGTGAGCCTCCGTGCCCAGCCTTTACTTTGAAAATTTATTTTGTTTTTTGACCACCCTGTTACTGTATAGGCAGTGTGTTTTTGATGAGCTTCATGATTTACTCCATAGAAAACGGAAATGCACAATGACATTGTGTCAGGACTAGAGCAGGAAGGACTTGGAGCCGGACAGAGTAACCGGTGAGACTTGGGGCTGTGTCGCTGTGTTTAGGGTGAGCCCCTTTGCGTGAGGAATGGCTGCACCGTGTTGGTTAGGTTCTGCGTTTGTCTGTTTGACGTCCACTACTCACAGGGCCAAACGAACAGCCAATGTTGTTTACATCTCCCCTGCAACTGGCTTTTGTCGGCTTGCAAAACTCATATCACAAACCCTCTGCCCCATCCACTTTCTTTATCTAGCCCTCACACACCAAGCTGATATTCCTCTGCCCTAAGTCACCCCAGAGCCAGGTACTGGACAACGCAGACGACCACTCTAGCCCAGAGCCCACCAACGTTATTCAAACTCTCCCATCTTTTGCCGTCTACCCTGCTCTGCCTTTCTCACACAAGCCCTGGGTAAGGCTCTGGGCTGCACATTCTCCCTACCCTCCTGCCTCCCGACCAGCCCTGGTGCAGCCCTGTGTGGCCCTGCATGTCATGACATGGCTCCTGCTTCTGTCTTCTTCATGACTGTCACTTCTGTGTCTGCATGTCTTACCACGCCTGATTCAAACAAATTCTCAATCAGGCGAGGTGGCTCACGCCTGTAATCTTAGCACTTTGGGAGGCTGAGGCAGGAGGATCGCTTGAGCTCAGGAGTTTGAGACCAGCCTGAGCAGGAGTGAGACCCCATCATTACAAAAAAAAACCCAGAAAAAATAGCCAGGTGTGGTGGTGTGGGCCTGTAGTCCTAGCTATTAGGGAGGCTGAGGCAGAAGGATCCCTTTAGCCCAGGAGTTTTGGTTGCAGGAAGCTATGATGACACCACTGCACTCTAGCCCGGGTGACAGAGTGAGAGACCCTGTCTTAGAACAAAACAAAACAAAACTCCCCAGTACAAATTTTAGGACAATTAAGCATAAACATTTTCTTCAAAGTGTGACTATGGAAAGTTGGGTGTGCTTTGACTTCAGGAGCCAAAGAGCTAGATTTCCTAGCTCTTAAACTCTTTTCAAATATTTTGGGAATGTCTCCACTTTGAAGGGGGCAGAGCCCACAGTCCACATGGGACTCGGAGCACCAGGTCCCTGCGTCCTCAGCCTTCCTTGCATCTATCTGGTTTAATCTGATGCATCCGTCCCGACTTTTGTGTCGGGAGCTAGTGACAGAGAGGCAAAGCTAGAGGAGAATTAACTGTGGCAGTAGTCGTGACAACAGCAGGGGCGGCTGGCTTTCAGGGACAGCGGTGACGGCAGCACCAGTGACGGGGCCAGGTTTGCGCCCAGCTCTGCAGCAGCCACCACTGTGGTCACTCTGGGCTGACCGGCTGCAGTGGAGGCTGCTGCCTCCCTGTTGTCACCCTCTGTCCAGGCAGCTCCTCCAGCTTCTAGGTGCTTCTGAGAACTAGCCACTGTCCGTTAACACAATCGTCCAATCCAACCTCATCGGGAGGTTTTTATTGCTTGTAACCAAGAATCCTGATGGTAAAGTATTAACATTTGTTAATACAGATAGTGAAAATGTGGGTGTTTATGATTTTTTTCTATTTTATGACTTTTAATTTTCTCAAAAGCTGACAGCAGCAACCACAGACGCAGGTGTATGCGCGATGCACGTGCAGGTGTGTGTGTCTGTACGTGCCGTGCGCTGTCCTGCTGTTCCAGGCGCTTTGTTTATGCTGTCACAACTCATTTACTCCTCCTAACAGGCCTGCGAAATAGGAGCCATCGTTCACGTCCTCCTTTGACACTCGGGGAAACCGAGGCACAGGACGTGTAAGAGACCTGGTCAGGATCTCTCGGCTGTTGAAGAGCAGAGTCAGAAATCAAACCTCGGTGGTCCCTGTCCCCGGCCTTTGCTTTGAACAAACTAAAGGAGATGAGAGAGCGAGCAGCTTGAGGGGGAGGCGGAACCCAGAGAGATTTGAGTGTGGGCAAGGAGCTTTTTAGGGGCGGAGGGGAAGGACGCAGCGGGGAGGGGAGCAGAGGCCCGAGGAAGCCGGGGCTGATAATAGATGGGGGCCCTCAAGATCCCAGGGGCCAAGATGCACCATGTTCGGGAGGAGGAACAGGGTTCCTGGTTTGATACGAGAGAAAAGGGGGCTTCTGTGGGACGTGGAAGGCAAGGTCACCTGCAAGGAGGCTGAGGAGGTGGCAGGCAAGTGACCCGGTGGTCCTGTAGGTGGCTGGGTCAGGGGAAGGGGGAGAAGAGGGAGGAGAGAACTGCGGGCTGGCGGCCAGGGACAGCCAGGTCCCAGGAGCGACTCCCCTGTGGCTCAGGGGCGCCAGGCAATGCCGATGCCGGGCACAGGGTGCTTCGGAGCAGGGAGGGAGGGAGGCATCACAGCAAGTGGACAGCGGGAAAGCAGGTCTGCGCCTGTCCCCACTGGACACTGAACGGTCACAGGCTCCTCCTCCTCTTCGTTCCCCTCCAGAGAGGGAGCGTGTGTGTGTGTGTGTGTGTGTGTGTTTGTGTGTGTGTGACAGAGAGAGAGAGAGAGAGAGAGAGAGAGAGAGAGAGAGAAGGAGAGGAGATCGTGAGCCCCTGCGCTCGTTTGCTAAGCCCTTGGCCCCTGCTGGGGTCAGGCCTGGGCTTTACCTGCCGACCCCCCTGTGCCTGCCCCCCAGACTGCCCTCCTCATGAAGCCAGGAACATGTGGCACCTGCGTGAAGCCTCCTCGGGCTGTCAGAGCCGGGCAGCCCCGGGAGAACTGACCTCCCTGCAGAGCTTGTCCAGCTGTCCCCGTCCCTGGGAAGCCCACTGACCCTCCCACAGTCTCCTTCCTCTCAACAGGGTGTCCCCAAACCCCCAAGCTTCAGCCTCTGACCGTGAAATGCAGTGACCATTCTGTGCCTGCCACTCTGCTTCTGGGGGGACTTTTGTCAGCTGCCCAGAGTCACCAAGCCAGCACGGCTCTCTGCACCCCGTGAATGGCCTGTCATCTTCGGTGACCACAGGTAAGAAAGCTGCCCCAAGGCTTCTGCCCGGGACGCCGTGCATGTGGGGAGATTGTGGGTTTGGGGGCAACGAGATACCGCTAGCAGCTTCCGGGTACTCAGAAGGGGGTTATGTCAGAATGCTTGAAGTCGCCTGCTCCTAGAAAAATTTTAGCCTCCTAAAATTTTAGTCCTGGGCTCTGGGCTGGTGTGGATAGCTCGGTCTCAGGACTTGTGACTTTACTGTATCCGCTCCTCTGTCTTTATTGCTACGATTCCTTCTTTTGCTCTTTTCTTTATTCATTCAGCAAATATTCTGTGTGCTTTATGAAAGGCTAACAGGCACCGATGGTGTTCACTGACTTGGGAGGGAGCAAGCGCTTCTTTGCTGGGTTGTTACGAGGCTGGACTTTCCTGCCCGGGCTGGTGTAGTAGCTCAGATGACCTTTAAGATTCTACACAACCTTGAGCTGATAAGCTTCTGCCACTGATCACGTTATTGAGCAGAGCAGATACAGAAACTAGAAACATGCTCTCTACCCCCTAAGCACCTCTAGTGAAATTCTTTGGAGGAAGACACAGTATCATTTCCTGTAATCGAGGGGTTTCTTTGGGGGTACAGTCTTGGCAATTGTGACAGAGCTGGGACTCCCGTGCCTGGTGGCGGGGCGGGAGCTGGATGGTTTCTGGATGGCAGAGAAGGACTGGGGGGGTTCTAAGAGAGAAGAAGGTGGCCTGGTGGGTGAGAAGTTGAAAAACCAGCTGCAGTGGGAAGATGAACAGGGAAATGAGCCCAGATTACCTTGACTTCAAAGGAACCAGGGTTCAGGGGGGTGGGAGGGGTTGCAATGAGTGTGAAGTCGAGTTGGAGTCGGGGGCAGGGAGAGGGTGGTCTGGGCAAGGGCTACAGCGACAATACAAATCCCCCCAACAGGCGCTGATATTCGAGTGCTTTATGAAGCAATGTCTTTTGCACAAGCTCCTCTGTGCACGCTACCCACTTAGCCCCACTTCACAGATAGAGACGTCACCCACTGCCACCCCCTCCCCCAGACCTGCCAATCCAGCCACTCAGGGGGTCAGAGTCTGTAGCTTTTTTTTTTCTCTTTCAACACCTTCCTAACTAGAGGTGGAAGGTTGCTCCAATTACTGTCAACTACCCAGAACTATTCCTCCTTTGGTTTCCTGTGACATATTAATAAAATTATTGTAGCAGGCCAACTGGAAGGGATGCAGATTTGAGGCATCTTGTTAGAATAAGTCCTCTAGAGTCACTGCGTCTCATTTGCACACGGGACAGCTCTCCCTGGATCTCTAAATGATGTAATTTCAGCATGCCTGCATTCCTGTTCTCACTAGTGGGAAGAAATCTTTCTTTTTATTACTTGCACTTGGTTGAAACAGATCACAGCCTTGGAATTTGCGGCCATGATATTGTTTGGAAGGATTAGTAACTGTACCTGCACCTAGAGGAAGCTCCTAGAACCTTAGAGCCAGGTGGGCCCAGCTTTGGGGTGGGGTAGGGTCTGTCCCTTCATCACCCATCCCCCACAGACCTCAGTCCTGATGGTGGCTTCACAGGGACAGTCATGGTGTTCGGGTCTGCAGAACACAGGCAGGTACCGGGGAGTTGCTTATGCAAAACTGCCCTCCTGGTTAGTACCACATTGTAATTTATCACATTATAGTTTAGAAGCTGAAGACCTTAGCTTGAATCCCAGCATCATCACTTTTATTCTTTTTTTTTTTTTTGAGTCAGAGTCTCACTCTGTTGCCTGGACTAGAGTGCTGTGGCGCCAACCTAGCTCACAGCAACCTCAAACTCCTGGGCTCAGGCGATCCTCCTGCCTCAGCCTCTCGAGTAGCTGGGACTACAGGCATGCGCCACCATGCCCGGCTAAGTTTTTGTATATATATTTTTAGTTGGTCAATTAATTTCTCTACTATTTTTAGTAGAGACGGGGTCTCGCTCAGGCTGGTTTCGAACTTCTGGCCTTGAGCAATCCTCCCGCCTCAGCCTCCCAGAGTGCTAGGATTACAGGTATGAGCCTCCGTGCCCGGCCAGCTTCTTCACTTTTTAACTATGCGAACTTGGGCAAATTGGTCAACTTCTCTGAACATCAGTTTTTTTTAATTTATATAAAAGCGATAATACTATCTCCCTCCCGGGGGTGACGTGAGGTCCAAATGAGGCCGAGGTGCCCTGTAAACCTGAAAACGAGGCATGTGCATGTTGTTCTTAGGAGTTAACATCAACGGGGGGCCTGGAACCTTCTTCCCTCTGCACTTCCCAGCCCTGTTTCCCAACATCTAAGGGAAGCAGTGGCCTCTTCCTGCCTGTGCCATGGTAGACGCCAGCCACGGAATGCCATAACTCTTTTTTGTTTTAACAAGCAAACAAAACTTGCGGGTGGTGGTGACTTACAGGTGAACGAGAGGATGGGACACCTGGGATGCTAAGCACTGCAGGGTAGGGAGGATGAGAGAGAGAAGGAACCACACAGGCGCTCCGTGGAGGGCAGGAGTTTGAACGAGTGCAGGTAGCAGAGGAAGAACTCCACCTGCTCTGCAGCTTCCCTGGGTGTCAACAAAGTTTAGCCTCTGGTGGCAACACCAGGATCTCTCAGCTCAACTCGACTCGACAGATGCTTCCTTAGAGTCAGACTCAGGGAAGAACTTCCCGACGTGTGGAATTGTAAAAAGCCTGGAAAGGATGCTCCGGGGAGTTGGAGTTTCGTGGATGGCTTTGAAACCAATGAGGCTAAATAAATAAGGTCGTGCCTCCCATCGCAGGTGAATGGGTGGATGAGATGCTAGAATTTTCCTTCCTTCTAATTCTTCTATACTGTGTCCGCTCAGGACCTCGTTCACTCAGGTCTCTGTGCCTAGCGCCTGGCACATTGTTGGCCACGATAAAGGATGAGGAGGTGGAAAGATAATGAACAAAGGCAAGAGGGAACAGCTGGATTATGGATGCAAATGTCTGACACGGTGTCGCTCCCTAACTTCAGGGCCAGCCGAGCTCTCCCTCCACCGACTCTCTCGGAGCTTCCTCCTCCCCTGGGCTCCTCTCAGCACAGCCCCGAGCTGCTGCCTTCTGATGTCCAGGGGCAGCCGGACCTGTCCTCTGAAGCCATGGGCCCCTCCCGTCCTGCGCTCCTGTCCCTCAGGAGGCTCGGCCTGTGCTGGCTCCTGCTGACTCCGACAGGTGAGTTGGCGTCACCAGGGAGACCTCATGTCACGCCTGTAAGCTCACAAGCTGTTTGGACTCATTGCAACCAACCGTCAAAGCTGCAGGGGACATTAGCAGCCATCAGCCGGGTGGCTTGTTCCACTGGGAGAGGTGGGTGGGGGGTGGGGTGGGAGCGGTCAGAGCTCTGACATTAGCAGCTGTGTCACCTTGAACGTCCCCGAGTGTCAATGTTCCTCAGCTGCAAAACACAAATAGTGCTGTGGACCTCCCAGGGCTATTGTGAGGACGAACGAAAGTCTCCCTAGCATGGCGGACACAGCAGGGCACATGCAAGGCGGCTATTGTCACTGCTGTGCTGTCCGTCCCAGATGGTGCTGACACATTTTTCTGGATTTTGGAGCCATAGTTCCTAGTTCCCGACTTGCTCAGGCAGCAGAGCCCTGAAGTGGCGAAGCTCTTTGCAGATCACAGTGAAAGCCAGCCAGGGAGATAGCAAGTTCCCAGCACTTTGCCAGCCTGATCAGAGTCGGCGAATGCGCATGGTTTAAGAAAAATCGAGGAGATGCTGGGAGTGGCAGAGGGTTTCCCTGTTAGCGGCAATGGCCCGTCTGACAGTGGGGGAAACAGGTGCTGCTCACCCCTGCCGGGCTCCTGCGATGCCCAAGGGACCCTTCTCCCTGCAGCTCCCCTCACTCAGACCAGGCGTCTCCCCCATATCACGGCCATCCTCGGGGCTGAACCTTGTCTCTAGGTCTGAGTCCCCACTTCCCTGTGTCTCGCCCCTCTGCAGCACCTGTTCCCACTAGCCTTTCTTGATCTCTGTGCGGTGCGCTCTGCACTGTGTTAAGCCCGGATAGACATCATTCTAGTTAATCCTCAACAGCGTTCCGAGATAGGTTCTGGATTCGCATCCCCATTTTACAGATGAGCAAACTGAGGCCCCAGAGAGGCTGAGTGGCTCTGATTTCACAGCAGGTGGAGAGGAAACCCAGCGCTCACATCCCCGGGAGCCCGGAGGCACCCTGTCCTCTCCCGGTCCCCTGGTGCCAGCGCAGCCAGGCTCCCACACCCACGCCGAGGACCACCTCTTCAAGCACCTCTTTGGCGGCTACAACCGCTGGGCGCGCCCGGTGCCCAACACCTTGGACGTGGTGATCGTGCGCTTCGGGTTGTCCATCGCCCAGCTCATCGACGTGGTGCGCCTGTCCCCCGCCCTCGTCCCCGAGTCAGCCCGAGACACACACTGCTCCGCCCCCACTATTTCTCCAGGCTCCTTCCTGGGTCTCAGCCCCGCCCCCCATTGGCCTCGGAGGCGGGGCCAGCTCCATGGCCCCACCCCCAGCCCTGGAGCCCCTCCCAGCGGGGCACTGATCGGCAACGCTGCCTGTGTGACCCTGGAGACTGAGTGAGGGTGGCAGTGTCGGGAGGGGTGGCGGCGGGCTGCGCTCGGGATGCCCTGTTAGAGGGTCTCTCCGCGAGCAGGCCTGGAGCAGCCCCTGCCACTCCTCCCTGTTTCCCGGGCCGGGTCCACCCCCCTGACTGTGCTCACTCTCCCTGCTCCCGCCAGGACGAGAAGAACCAGATGATGACCACCAACGTCTGGCTGAAGCAGGTGAGGCCTCCCCTGGCCCTGGAGGGAGAGGGGCGGAATCCAGGCAGCCCCGTCACTAAGGAGGGGCCAGGGAACAGCAAGACCCAAATTCACATCTGACCATACTGTTGCCCCTCGGGCCGGTCCCAAAGCCAGCCCGCTGCAGGGTCTGAGAAGGCAGGAGGTTCTCCCTAGCTGGAGGTGTGGAAAACCTGAGACGCACTAAAGATGGTGACTTCACTACAGGTGAGTGAAGTGGCCGCTGGGTCATCCAGCTAGGGAGAGGCAGGGCGAGGCGTAGACGCAGGCTGGAGTGTCCGGTCCACTGGGTGTGCCGGGACCTTGGCTACTGAAGTAGGGGCAAAGCGAGACGGTCGGCCACTAGGTCCGAGCCCTGTCCTGGCGTGGCAGTCCCTTCTGTCCCGAGGGGCCGGGTAGGGAGCTCTAGGTGCTCTGAACCAGCGGCTCGGCCCAGGTTGGGGGTGCCCCGCTGGCCCAGGCCCTGCCCCGGCGGCACTGGTGAGTGACACCCCCCCCCATGTGCAGGAGTGGAACGACTACAAGCTGCGCTGGAACCCGGCCAACTTCGGCAACATCACGTCCCTCCGGGTCCCTTCGGAGATGATCTGGACACCCGACATCGTCCTCTACAACAAGTAAGAAGCCATGGCGGTGCTGGGAGGCCCCCGGGAGGGCCGGGTACATGGACCTGGGGTGTGTCCCTCTCCACTGCTCTGCTGGGTGTGTGTGCGCCCACCTCCCCTATTCCTTTGATTTTGTTCCCTCACTCACACCCTAAGACACACTAGCGCCCACTGTGTACCGGTGCCTGGCACCGTGCTAGTGGGACATAGGTTTGCCGATCTGAGCATTCCTTGAAAAATGTGATGCTGGCTCAGAAAACAATGCCTTGGGGCTGGAGTGTTGAAGGAAGGTGCCTGGTTCAAACAGGTAAGCCGCATCCTGGGATAACACCCTGGAAGGGACAAACTCACTTTTTTTTTTTTTAAATCTTGTTATTTTATAGTTAGTTGTCTTCAAGAACAAAAGGACCAACCTTTGAACATAATGACTAGAAGCTAATAGAAGGTGGGGGGAACCTAGAGAAAGCCCCAGTGGACAAAAATTGAATTAAATTTAAAAAAATAAACATATAACATTTTTTAAATTTGTGAAATAGGATCTTGCTCTGTTGTCTAGGCTAGAGTACAGTGGCGTCATCATAGCTCACTGCAGCCTTCAACTCTTGGGCTCAAGCCGTCCTCCTGCCTCAGCCTCCCGAGTAGCTGGGACTACGGGGGCATGTCACCATGTCTGGCTAATTTTTTTTTTTTTTTTTAATTTTAGAGATGGGCTCTGGCTATGTTGCTCAGGCTGGTCTGAAACTCCTAGGATCAATGATCCTCCCACGTTGGTCTCCCAAAGTGCTGGGATTACAGGTGTGAGCCTCCAAGCCTGACCTAGATAGAATGAACAGAAATCTACCATTTCATTTGCGTGTTTGATATCAGATAATCTTTCCTTTAGAGGTCAAGCAGTTCAAATTAAAAGGTGTTTGGTGTCATGTTCACCTAAAAATGTTTTCTAAAGGCTCTAAGGAGCCCCACTTCCTCAAGATATGAGTAGGTATGAAGAAGGGTTCTGCAGTCAGATAATTTCGGGTAACATTGTCTGTCACTACTCCCGCCCCAGTACTTTGGAAAACGGCAGAGCACAATAGCATTTTAGATGTTGTTAGAAGTTCTGCAGCAAAAAACTCCATCCAGCCCCGCATTCCCCAATTCATTTGACCCTGCTTTGGAAATGCTATTTTTAAACAATGAAATAAAGGGGAAAGAGTCCCACATCTGGATTCAGCACCCCCAGATAGGACAGGTGGCTCCTTACACTGTCTAGGTCCACCACGCCTAGGCCACCTTGGTGAGCACGTTTCCCCACAGGGTTACCTGGCAGGTCTCCCACTGCAGGTGTCCAGTGATTGCGGCTAACGAGGGGCTCCCGGACCCCCCACCCCATGATGTCCCTGTGCCCTGGAGGTGGCACCCAGGGTCCGTCTAGGTTCTGCTTCCTGTGTCTCTGGCAGAGGGCAGGAGCAAAGTCCCACAGCAGGTAGGACTTGGAGTCGTAGGACTGCCAATAAGGCTTCGATCGGTGTTCCTTGATCATTACAAGAAACTCTTTCGACAGTTCAAAAGTCCGAACCAAACTCTGTGGACATTTAAAGAAGGAGCCCCTCGGAGCAGACTCGCAGGCCAGGTTAGCGGGAAGGTGCTCCGTCCTCCAGGTGGGCGCACGCTGCCATCTAGTGGTGACTGTGTGTAATAATCAAAGTGCCCTCCCATCTTTTTTTTTTTAATTTAAACTTTTGCACATAAGCAATTTATTACTCTCTTTCAAAGTAGCTGTTTGCAGCCTGCCTATATGTCTACCCTGAAACTACTCCATGGAAAAAAGTCTCTCTTCCCATGTATTCTTTGGGTTCCCTGGAGCTTAGGGTTGACTGACGGGTCACCATGGTTCCAGTATCCCCAGAGTCCTTGTGGATCCTTGGACGCCTGGTCCCACAGTGCTCCCTCTCCCGGTGCACCCTGTGAGTTTTGCCCTTCCCGCCTGTTCCTTGCTCCCCCGGGGCCCTGTGCTGGTTCACTCTCCACCTGTCTGTCCGCCCAACCCTACCGTGGGTCGGGGCCCTGTGCAGACGGCCGCCTTCACCGTGACCACCCCTCCTTCGACTCACCCAGTGGGTCTGGGGCGCCCTCCGCCCACCCTCACCGTGCTGCTGCCAAGCTGCCTCCTGAGCCGTAGTGGCTTGGCTGTGTCTCATCTCTTCCCGATCCCTTAAGGGCAGCGATCTTGTCTCACGTTCCTCTTCTGGCTCTGATAGAGGCCCTGCCGGGCGAGGCTGTCTCCAAAATGCATGTCACATGGGTGGATTCGGGAAGTATCTTCACCAGCAAAGACCTTAGGTCCCTTCTGAGCAGGGAGTGAAAGGTCCCAGGTGCAAAGGACATGAACCCCCACTTGAGGGGCCGACTTGCCATCCGATACAGAAAAAAACACGTAACCACCAAGAATCACTTTAAAATATTAGGCCGGGTGCAGTGACTCATGCCTGTAATCCTAGCACTCTGGGAGGCTGAGGCAGGTGGATCGCTCAAGGTCAGGAGTTCGAAACCAGCCTGAGCAAGAGCGAGACCCTGTCTCTACTAAAAATAGAAAGAATTAATTGGCCAACTAAAAATATATAGAAAAAATTAGCCGGGCATGGTGGCACATGCCTATAGTCCCACTACTCAGGAGGCTGGGGCAGGAGGATTGCTTGAGCCCAGGAGTTTGAGGTTGCTGTGAGCTAGGCTGACGCCACGGCACTCTAGCCCGGGCAACAGAGTGAGACTCTGACTCAAAAAAACAAACAAACAAAATTAAATGAGCAAGAAAAGGCAAACTCTATAAACCCCATGAGCACAAATATGTATGTATATGACCATCATATAGATCATACATATAATAGTTTCACATGATATATACAACATCAAAAATGTTAGTAGTGGTTATCTTAAACATTCTCAGCACTTTATTCTTTTTATTTATTTATTTTTTTTGAGACAGAGTCTCACTCCATTGCCCAGGCTAGAGTGAGTGCTGTGGAGTCAGCCTAGCTCACAGCAACCTCAAACTCCTGGGCTCAAGCGATCCTCCTGCCTCAGCCTCCCGAGTAGCTGGGACTACAGGCGTGCGCCACCATGCCCGGCTAATTTTTTTCTATATATATTAGTTGGCCAATTAATTTCTTTCTATTTATAGTAGAGACGGGGTCTCGCTCTTGCTCAGGCTGGTTTCGAACTCCTGACCTGGAGCAATCCACCCGCCTTGGTCTCCCAGAGAGCTAGGATTACAGGCGTGAGCCACCGCACCCGGCCAGCACTTTATTCTTGACAATTCCTACTTTTGTAATGAAAACGATGGTAGTTGGAAGGTGGCTTGGGAGGCTATAAACATGTGTGTGCTGGGAGAGACTCACACGTGTGCGTGAACCCGACAGCCGGCCAGGTCTGCCTCCGTCCTGCTGCCGGCCGTGAGCAGCCTGGCTCGGGCAGGGGTGTGCGGGGCACCCAGGTCCTCTCCTCTCCCCAGTGCAGATGGGGAGTTTGCGGTGACCCACATGACCAAGGCCCACCTCTTCTCCACGGGCACCGTGCACTGGGTGCCCCCGGCCATCTACAAGAGCTCCTGCAGCATCGACGTCACCTTCTTCCCCTTCGACCAGCAGAGCTGCAAGATGAAGTTCGGCTCCTGGACCTACGACAAGGCCAAGATCGACCTGGAGCAGATGGGGCAGTCGGTGGACCTGAAGGACTACTGGGAGAGCGGGGAGTGGGCCATCGTCAACGCCACGGGCACCTACAACTCCAAGAAGTACGACTGCTGCGCCGAGATCTACCCCGACGTCACCTACACCTTCGTCATCCGGCGGCTGCCGCTGTTCTACACGGTGAACCTCATCATCCCCTGCCTGCTCATCTCCTGCCTCACGGTGCTGGTCTTCTACCTGCCGTCCGACTGCGGCGAGAAGGTCACGCTGTGCATCTCCGTGCTGCTGTCGCTCACCGTCTTCCTGCTGCTCATCACCGAGATCATCCCGTCCACCTCGCTGGTCATCCCGCTCATCGGCGAGTACCTGCTCTTCACCATGATCTTCGTCACCCTGTCCATCGTGGTGACCGTCTTCGTGCTCAACGTGCACCACCGCTCGCCCAGCACCCACACCATGCCCCGCTGGGTGCGGGGGGCCCTGCTGGGCTGCGTGCCCCGCTGGCTCCTGATGGCTCGGCCCCCGCCAACGCCCTTGGCGCTCCGCGACCCCCCGGGCCCGAGGCCCGGCCCCTCCTACCGCTGGCTGGAGACCAACGTGGACGCCGAGGACAGGGGGGCGCTGGCGGTGGCGGAGGACAGATGGGCTCGTGCCGGCTATTCCGTGCCCCCCACCAGGGCCCGCCGCAGCCACGGCGGCCTGCACCCGGGGGCCTCGGGGCCCCAGGCCGAGGCTCCCGTGCAGGAGGGCGAGATCCTGCTGTCGCCTCGCATGCAGAAGGCGCTGGAAGGCGTGCACTACATCGCCGACCACCTGCGGTCTGAGGATGCTGACTCTTCGGTGCGTGGGGGCTGGGCGAGGGGACAGGCTGGGTGACTCTGACTGCCTTGCAGGGGACCTCCTCTCTCCCGGTGTGAGCTCAGGCCAGCCCTTCCCTGAGGACCCCTCGTGGCCCTTAGGAGTCTAGACTAACTGGTGAGAGGGAATGTCCAGTGGCAGCTCTTGGGACATTTATTGGCAGGGGCAGGTGCCATGCCACAGGGTCAAGTGTGCCCAGCTTGGCCTAACTGGGAGCCCACGAGCCAGAGAGGGAGGACAGCACTGGCTGAACCCTGTGCCTCCCACAGGCCACCAGCTGTCACTGTTGCCCTGGTGGTGGGGGGATTATTTCAGGAGAGGCCCAGCAAATGAGCCCAGCCTTCCTCCTTCACCCTGCATGGTCTCCTCTTCCTCCTCCTCCTCCTCCTTGTTCATGGGCCCTGGGCATTTTGCAGACTCCACTGTTCACCCACAAACCCTGTAGATTCTCAGTTCTACGGGGGGAGGGGTGTGTATGTGTAGGGTCCAGCATGATCAGGTGAGCAGGCCACTGCCCCTTCACAAAGCTCTTCTTATCAGCACAGCAAGGATAAAAGGCCAGGAGGTTGTTACACTAAGTAGATAAGAAAATTAACCATTATCTAACCCAGGAGCATGTGGAGCCCAGACTCCCCCTGCCTGGGCTGCCGAGCCCAAGGTCACAAAGCCCCACCCTTCCCCAACCCGCCCTGGGTCATGCCCACCTTCACTTGCCCCCTCCTCTCCACGTCCAGCAGGTGAGTGGGCTGGCAACTTGGGGACAGCAAAGTCTGCAGCATTTCGTAACTGCTGCATTTAAACTGATGCTGCACTGAAATCCCTAGCTGGTTCTGCCACCTCCTGTGCCACCTCCTGTGGCCCCTGGTGTCCCTTTACCTGCAACCTGAGAGCAGGTGGGCCGTGTGGAGGGGCAAGAGGCTCTGAGCAAGAGGCTCTGGGCTGTGTGGAGGGGCTGGGGTGGGACAGGAGTCACCAGGGAGTTGTCTGAGCCTGGAGGCCACCTTGTCTGTCCCCTCCACTCCCACCTGCACTCACCTTCGCTGCCCAGGTCCCCTGTGGTCATCGTTGCAGGGGCTTTGCACAGGGGACACTGCCCCTCCACGAGGCGCAGCCCCGTCACTGAGAGCCGGTTTCCGCCTGCAGGTGAAGGAGGACTGGAAGTGCGTGGCCATGGTCATCGACAGGGTTTTCCTCTGGCTGTTCATCGTCGTCTGCTTCCTGGGCACCGTCGGCCTCTTCCTCCCCCCGTTCCTGGCGGGAATGATCTGACCCTCTCTCCTCTCCGTTACTCCCAGGTGGCCCCGCTGGCCACCTTCTGACCACCCTTAACTGCGGCTGCCTCTAGAGCAGCGTCCGGGGTGGATGCCGTCTGCCTGCAGGTGCCTCTGCACGGAGTCCCCGCACCTCCAGTCACCGGGCACTTCTGGAACACCCCCTGACATCACTGCACCGAGTGCCGAGACGCTGCTGGGTGCAGAGCCCTGTTCGGGTGCCGGGGAGCTGGGGGAGGGAGGCGCTCACAGAAGGTTAGGATGCGGTGACAACAACGTGGGGCAGGACCAGATTGTCCTGGAAGAGCAGCACAGCCCTACGCTGCGGGGCCAGGCAGGAGTGCCCAGGGGGCAGAGCCAGCTGGAGACAAAGGGGACTCGGACCTCACAGGAGGGACCTGTGGGGAAGCAGGGAGGGTGTCTGGGGTGCAAGGGCTCTGAACGGCATTTTGGGTTCGGGAATGAGCCCCAGTGCCAGGGACGGGGCTCTGTTTTGGGGAGCAGCAGGAGGAGGCTGGAGAGGCGGGTTGGGGTCTCTCTAAGTCAGGCTGAGCGCGAAGTGCAGAGTCTGTCTGAGCCTGCAGGGTTCTGAGCTGTCAGGAACTGCAGGAAGATGACAGACTCTTCCGGAAAGGCAGGGCCTGCATGTGGCCCTCCCGGTGGAGGCGGGAAGGATGGATGGGTGCAGGTGGCTGGGCCATTCCACCCACCTGGAAGCGCTTTTGGCCCTCTCCAACTGCCCCAACCGGCTTCTCCTGATGTCTGCCCTCCCTTTCCTTGCTGCAGAAGGGCTGAGCACCAGCCAGGCCCCCAGGAGGTTTGGGGGAGCCGAGTGCCACTGCCCGCAGATCACTGTCCTTGAACAGGCAGCAGGCAAACTAGACGCACCATCCTGAACCGCTCCTGACTCAGCTCCAACAGGCGGCGTGTCCGGCCTGCCCTCCCTCCCAGACCCCCTGGTCCTGGTCCCTGCTCCATCAGCACGCCTCACATGGGAGTTCAAGACCTTTGCTCCAGTCCCTTTGAGTCTGAACTCCTCAAGGCCAGGGCCCCTGCCTTGCGTTTGTCCTGGTGTCCAGCACGCGGCACGGCGCCGGGCAGTGGCGTCCAGCACTCAGGATGTTTGTTCTGCGTGGTTGAGGGGCGTGAACTGGGTCACTTTGGACCCTAAGACCACTGTGTAGATGGCAAAGCTGCAGGACTGCGCCCTTCCCAGCCTGTCCCCCCATCCTGTCCTTGCCAGAGGCCTGAGATGTGTCCGACCTGCTCTGAACCCTTCAGGGCGGCCTGTTCTCACACCTTGGACTAACACTCCAGGGCCAGCTGCTGTTCCCAGGATCGGGGAATGGGGGTCGGCCTGGGGGCTCTCCTGAGCTCTGTCCAGCCCCCGTGGGCGGGATGTCAGCAGCGAGCAGACGTGGGCACGGGGGTCCGCAGACAGTGTGGGGGCTTTGGGCAGGAAACTGGGCAGGGCAAGCTCCTGGTTTCCTTTCGGTCTTTGGGGTCCCCTCCTGCCCATGCCCTGCACCCTGCTCCCTGACAGGCCGGGAAGCCTGCCTGCCCGTGACACCTGGCCCAGGCCCCGCTCCTCATTTCTCTCCCAAGATGCTCCACGCAGGGCCCATTCTGGCTTCTGGCTCGTGCTGGCTTGTGTGCATGCAGCCCCGGCCCTCCCCTCCCCTCCCCTCCCCTCCCCTCTGGGCTCCCTGGCCCAGGCTCCCAGACCTGCCCTCCCCGTGCAGTGACGTGCACGCGTGTCACTCACGCCTCCTGCCTGTCGTGCATGTGAGTAAAGATATGAGACGCAGGTGAGTCCGCTGCTCATTGGCATCGTCAACGTCACCCAAGCCCCTCCAGAGCCTGGGTTGCATCGGGCCAGCTGGGAGAGGAGTGACACGTGCCATTCCTCACGTGACCATGGAGGGGACCACCCTGGGTCCCTGGGGAAGTTGCCCTGGGGTCAGGTGCCACCACTGCCCACGCAAGGGCAAAAGGGCCATACACCTGAAACACTGCGGGTCCCCGCACACCCCTCCTTGGCCGGGGCCCAGAGCTGGTCAGCCCTTGGTCTGCAGGAGCACAGCGGCTGCCACCATTGTCCCCCATGGGGCCGAGCAAATCAACAAAACAAACGAACCACAAAGCAAATGGGAACGATTTTAATTCAGCCACAATTCAAATAGAAAGAAGGTAAGAGTGTTCGACACAAACACGTGAGAAAATGGGCAGGTGGGAGAAGGAGGCGTAAGAAAAGAGAGGAGAAAAGGAGGAAGGGAAGAAACGGGAGGAGGAGAGAGGGCAGGAGAGAGCGGGCTCGGCCGAGGCCCAGACTTGGAGGCGTCTCTCCCGTCTTTCCCGACACTGGGTCCTGCGCTGTGCCCACGCTCCCGGCTAGCGCGTTCCCAACCGCGTTCAGTTCCCGCAGCAGGGCATGCGCTGTCAGTCCACGCCAAACTCACATTAAATAAATTCCGCTATACACTGTACAAGAACGCCAGGCTCTGCCCTCATCTCACCGGCCCCCTGGCCCCACAAATAAAGCCCCTCCGGCCCCTCTGTGCACCAGGGGACCTCTGACCTCTGCTGAGGAGGAGCGGCCGGCCGTGTCCATGTGAAAGCCATCTCGGCCGCTGGGGGCACCACGTGACCCCCCCCCAGCCCCCAACCACCACGAGCGCCCAGCATGGGCCGGGCCGGGCCGGGATGGGAGGGCTGGCCGGGCCGCAGCAGTGTCCCCGCCGAGCCATCTCTGTCACCCCACCCCGTGTCCACAGCTCAAGGTCCCCTCTATCCAGCTGCAGCCTGGGCAGCTCGGTCTGGGGCGGGGCGGGGGAGGGGTCGTGCAGAGAGGCCAGGCCTTGCCCCCGAGGAGGCCCGCGTGGCCGAAGGCGAGGCAGGGAGGGTACACGACAGGCGGGGGTGGAAGACGCGGGCAGGCAGCCCCGTGCTCGGTCACTCTGCAGGCGGGTGCGCCAGGTTGGCCAGAACCTTGGCCTGGTCCACAGCGTCGAGCAGGTTCTTGGCGTCCACAGCCAGGGTGTGGGAGGCCGTGAGCATCTGCCGCTTGCACTCCTCGCTCAGGGAGGTCACCGCGTTCTGCTGCGCCAGCCGCATCTTGTTGATGAGCTCCGCCAGGTCTTTGTTGAGCAGTTTCTGGGTCCCCTCGATCTGTAGGAAGAGCATACAGGGGAGGGGGTGCTGAGGGGCCACGAGTCTGCCTGGAGGATGGGGCAGCCACGGGGGTGTCCACCTGCGTGTGGGCTGAGGCCAAGGGAAGTTCCCTGGGGGCAAATCAGCCCTAGGCCTGGGCTGAATCCAATGCCGCCGGCGGGCTGGAGCTGGGTCTGCAAGGACCGAAATCACCGGCACCCCAGCCCCAGACAGCCTGGGCCAGCGGGACAGACTGTCCCTTTGTGGCGGCGTCCCCACGCACTGGCCAGCACTGGAGTGCACCGTCAGAGGTAAAGGTGGCAGTCTACCATCAAATCAAGAGATCAAGGCCGGGCGCGGTGGCTCACGCCTGTAATCCTAGTACTCTGGGAGGCCGAGGCGGGTGGATCACTCAAGGTCAGGAGTTCAAAACCAGCCTGAGCAAGAGCGAGACCCCGTCTCTACTAAAAAATAGAAAGAAATTAATTGACCAACTAAAATATATAGAAAAAATTAGCCGGGCATGGTGGCGCATGCCTGTAGTCCCAGCTACTCGGGAGGCTGAGGCAGAAGGATCACTTAAGCCCAGGAGTTTGAGGTTGCTGTGAGCTAGGCTGACGCCACGGCACTCACTCTAGCCCAGGCAACAGAGTGAGACTCTGTCTCAAAAAAAAAAAAAAAAAAAAGAGATCAGGGACTGCTTGTTTGCCACTATATCCCCAGCGCTAGCACAGTGCTGAGTGCAGGCATACCCTGGCGAGACTGTGGATTCGGTTCCAGACCACCTCAGTAAAGTGAATAGTGCAATAAAGTGAGTCACGTGACCTTTTGGCGTCCCAGTGCATATAAAGTTAAATGTTCACACTGCACTGTAGTCTAGTAAGTGTGATCAGATGTGCTGTGCGGAAGCCCCGCCGGGGACTCAGAGGGCAGAAGCGAGGCAGCCAGGCTCCTGCGCCGCTGGAGGGAAGCACACCTAGGGACAGGTGGAGGTGCAGGAGAAAGGGGGCAGATTTCGGCACCGGCTGGGACAAGGACACTCACCTCTGTCCGTGAAGACGATGGCAAGGAGGGCAGGAGGTCATCCACGCTCCCGATGAGCTTCCGCAGGGTCAGCCCCACGTTCTGGGGAGAGAAGGGGGCAGGGTGGCTCTTGTCACCTCTTGCTTTGGGAGAAAGCCACACGTCCCTCGGGGGGAGCGCTTTTGAGTGGTGCCTCCCGCCCTGGGACTGGATTCCCCTGGGCCACCCTGCTCCAAGGGGGTCTGCCGGGCTGGCCGGCAAGGAATCGAGGCCTCGTCCCTTCCGGGGCTGCGGGGAGCAGCGTCCGCCTCCCCTGCCCCAGCCCGGCTCCCACCTTCACCACCACGACGTAGCCCTCGGGCGGCAGCTGGCAGAGCTCGTTCTTGAGGTCCAGCACGGCCCGCACCAGCTCCATGACGTTGAGGTACACCTGGTCGTCGGTCCGGTCCAGGTTGGCCGTGGGCTGGATGGACTGAGGGGGAGGGGGTCGAGGTGAGTCGGGGGACACTGCCACGCTTCATGGGCAGGTGTGACCGGTGCCAACACAGCCACCAGCCCGATTGAAAGGACTCTTCTCTGTCCCAGGGGTGCCCCCTCCCTTCCACGTCCAGGGCAGTGGTTTTCCAGCTGGGGAGTCTTTAGCGAAATACTAGTGGCGGCCTCACGCCAGACCAACTGACCCATCACCTGGGCACGGGGGGCAGGTAGTCTCAAAGCTCCTCAGGTGATTATAACGGACAGCCCAGGACGAGAACCACCGTCCCAGCCCAGGGCTGCTGTGAGGACAGCAGGGTGCTGGGAGCCACGGGGAGAGGCTCCGGAAGGAAGGGGTCCCCCACTCCAGGGCTGGACTGGTGAGCTGTCTTCCAGGTTGGGGAGGGGCCCCAGAGGACAGGAGGCTGGTTCCCCTTGGGTGTTCGTGAATGAGCTGTGTGGCCTTAGGCAAGGTGCCTCCCCTCTCTGGGCCTCCTCTATATAATGAGGATCCGGGACTAGACTCCATCTGAGCGACTGTGACGTTTCCACAATCCATGGTCTCATCAGCTTCAGCAGAGCCAGCACGTACCTGCGCGCCCAGCCGCGGTGGCTTCTGCGGGGGCCCGGTGAACTCCACTGCAAGGGAAAGCATGGTGAGTGGGGGGTGGCTCTCAGCACCCCGACCCTTCCCTTTGTGCCTGCTGAACCTCTCTCCCCTGCCACCAGGAGAGCCCAGGGACGTGAACCCCAAAGTCCAGGATAGCTGGGAAAATGACCTTCTGCTCTCCCTGGTTTTCCAGTAACCAGGGACACGCACTGCCGTCCCATTTATAGAAAGAAAAAACCAGAGCCATAGCCGAGCTGGAGCTGGCAGTGGGCGTCCTGCCCCGGCTCGTGCTTGCTCCCCGGTGGGTGCCGGGCGCAGGAACCAGCACACACTGTGGCCCTGTGGTCCCTGGGGGAGAAGCCTCACGTGGGAGGTGGCAG